ACAGCCTCTCCTGCTAGTCATAGATGCCAGTCACATAAGTACCATAATAAACACATGAAGAGAAAGAACCAACATTGATAAAAAACACCACCACCAGCTAGAGTGCCTTTTCAAGCGTGTTACCACACTAGCTTCAGCTAGAGAATATATGATAGCATGATATGTAAAATGCATTATATATGATATTTATTTTTCACACATCCTCAGTTTAAATAATCTGAAATGTGAACCGTAGAAAACTGGAGTTATGTTGGGCATGGCACATACTTTTTCTTTTTTTTATTGAAAATATTTTTTCATACATTACATTTTGATCATGGTTTCCCCTCCCTCATAATCCATACATACATTCACAATTCATAAATCTTTAAGAATTAACATCAAGCTAATAACTGGGTTTATGCAAAGATACTGATATCCCTTCTTTTCATTTAACTTTGTCATTTAATTTTTTTTGTAGTTAAACCTAGGTTACTTACAAAAACAAACAAAATCAAGATTTAGGACAAGAGAACCAGCACAGGGCTTTAAAAGATGAACTGTGATTATCAGATAACCCAGAACACAGGAGACCTTAGATATACTCCTTACTGTTGGTAGTGCCATCTGCAAAAATGATAATAAAAATAGTACTTCCTTCAGTGGGTTTGTGAAGATTAAACTGGATCAGTGGTGTGGTACCTCCTGTACTCAGCAATCATGCAACTACAGAATTCTAGCTCCAGTTTCACCAGCAGGGCAAGGTACTTGCAGAAGTACAAAGCCTGTGTGACTGCTGTGAAAGCAATGACAGAGCCCAGTGACAGGGCCCTCTGTCTCAAATGGAAACACAGAAAATGAGGAGTTCATGGTTCTATCACATGCAAGGAAATCTCCAAGTCCACAAGCTTTAATAGTATTAAATATATGGCAGGCAGTGGTGGTGCACGCCTTTAACCCAGCACTCAGGAGGCAGAGACAGGTGGAACTTTCTTGAGTTTGAAGTCTGGTCTAAAGAAGGAGTTCCAGGACAGCCAGGGTCACACAGAGAAACCCTGTCTCAAAATCTGCCCCCCCAAAAAAGTATTAAATATCTATTAAAAATCTTATCTTCCTTAAAAAGATAATCTGAATGAGTGAATTTTATGAATATGGATTATATTTTAATGAATATACAAATCACTTTAGGTTGTGATATTGATCTAAGAGGGGTGGCCTAAAGTGTCACATGGTGGTGGTAGCACATGCCTTTAATTCCAGCACTTAGGAGGCAGAGACAGGCTGATCTCTGTGAGTTAGAGGCCAGCCTGGTCTACAGAGTGATTTCCAGGACAGACTCCAAAGTTACAGAGAAACCTGTCTTGAAAAACAAACAAACAAAAGAACATTTCAAAGCACAATAATGTTGATGCAGGCAGAAACTAACATTGCACAGGGAATTTCTAAACTAGCTGGTTTGAGTTGTTTGAAATTGAATTCGGTTCATAAAGTTATTGAATTGCTTAGAGACTCATTTTAAACTGTAATTAATAAAATGATGTTCACACAGGATTTGCAAATATTAAATACTATGACTGAAAAAAAAAAGAATTCTGGGGTCCAGCTAGGAGGCTTAGTGGGTAAAGGTGCCAAGTCTGAAGACCTGAGTTCAGTTCCTGGGATCACACTGTAGATCAGGAGAGAACTAACTCTGGCAAATTGTCCTCTGTGTTTCAGATGATCACTGTGCTGTGCCTACTCTCCATCTGAAGCAAATAAGTGTAAAGAAGATCAAAAGAATAGATTTCTTATTTCTTCCTTTAAACCACTGAGAGAAGATTACCTTTGTTTTGGGACAAGAGGAGGGAAAATACCTGTTTCTTGGTGTAGCACGAACGATTTGAAGGGCAATTAAAATTCTAGAAATGGCCAGGCATTCGTGGCGCACACCTTTAATCCCAGCAATCGGGAGGCAGAGGCAGATCTTTGTGAGTTTGAGGCCAGCCTGGTCTACAGAGCAAGTTCCAGGACAGTCTCCAAAGCAATACAGAGAAAACCTGTTTCGAAAAAAAAAAACAAAAAACAAAAAACAAAATTCTAGAAATGGATGGGAGTTGAGGGTGTGCACCTTGAATCCTAGCACTGGGGAGGCAGAGGTAGGCAGATCTCTGTAAGTTCGAGACCAGCCTGGTTCCAGTACAGGCTCCAATGCTATACAGAGAAAAAAAAAGGCAAAACAACAAAAACCAACAAAAATGCCAAAACACAAACAAACAAAAAAACCTAGAAGTGTTTGTTCTTCGTTTCCAGTCTTGCTCCAGCATCCGCCTACTGCACTCCTACTGTACGCCCTGGAATACATCAAGTGCTTCAAGACTTGATGAAACTTGATTTTGACAATGGTCCATAAGGTGACTATAGCCATCTCCATATAACTGATGTTAAAAAAAAAAAAAAACCATGGCCGGGCGTTGGTGGCGCACGCCTTTAATCCCAGCACTTGGGAGGCAGAGGCAGGCGGATCTCTGTGAGTTCGAGGCCAGCCTGGTCTACAAGAGCTAGCTCCAGGACAGCCTCCAAAGCCACAGAGAAACCCTGTCTCGAAAAACCAAAAAAAAAAAACCCACATGGCAGGGCTAGAGAGATGGCTCAGTGGTTAAGAGCACCAGCTGCTCTTCCAGAGGTCCTGAGTTCAATTCCCAGCACCCACATGGTGGCTCACAACCATCTATAATGAGATCTGGTGCCTTCTTCTGGTGTGCAGATATACATGCAGGCAGAACACTGTATACATAATAAATAAATAAATCACAAAAAAGAAGCCCATATAGGGATGTTCCCCTAATGTCTGTGTATTGAAACCCCAGTCCCTAGCCCATGGTGCCAGAGTTAGGAGCTTTGAGAAGGGAAGTTAGGTCATAGGAAGCATATTCTTGAAGGAGTTACTGAGATCCCCTTCCCCTCCCGATTCCCAGTTACTGCGAGGTGACCAGCAACTCTGCTACATGTTCTTGCCATGATGTAAAATGTTGAACCAGGTGCCAGGTGCATGTCTAGCACTAAGGAAGCAGGATAGGAGGAGGTAGGTTCCAGGCCATCCTGGTTACAGAGCAAAGCCTTGTTTTTAAAAAACCAAGGTAGGTGTGGGATGGGGTAGGAAAAACCCCAAATTAATGGATTAAAACAAAACCAAAACCATCTCATGATATACTGTACTGACATAAGCTTGAAGGCAATGTGACCGAACCTCTGAACTTATTCTGATAAACAGATTATCCTCAGCATTTTTTCACAGTGAGAAAAGAAAACTAGCATAACACCAGAGTTAGGCAATCTGAGCAGGTCACATGACCAGTCAGTGACACAGGGCTGAACTTGCCAGGTTCTGATTGGTGAGTCTGCGCCATACAAATCTTTCTACCTAGGAAAGAGGGAAAGTGATAAATCAGATCACTTGTTTCCTAAATTCAGATAAACTATACTAGCAGAGACAAACTAAAGCTGCTTTGGGCAGGAGACCCAACTTGACTTTCTTCAACAGAATTCTGAGGTGCAATTAAATCAATTTATGTAATAGAAGGAATTAGTTTTACTAAGAAAAATATACTTCAAGACCCAGCCAGAATAGTTTTAAAAGATTTTCTTTTATATATAGGTGTTTTGTCTGCATGTCTGTCTGTCTTACCACATCCATGCAGTGGTTTTTCAAGACACAATTTCTTTGAGTATCATCCCTGGCCCCTGGCTGTCCTGGAACTCGATTCATAAACCAGGGTAGCCTCCACCTGCCTCTGCCTTCTGAGTGCTGGGATTAAAGGCATTCCGTGTAGCCCAAGCCAGTTCCCAAGTCTCTATGAAGCCCACTCCTCCTGCACTTACTTCCCAAAGCCTGGGATTACAAGTGATCACTGCCACACCTTGTTTTTGAGGTGATGATACTCAAACCCAGAGCTTCCAGAATGCCAGGGCAGCACTCTGGTTGCTAGCTGGAGATCCTAGCATCTAAGATTTGAATAAAATGAGGCACCCAGACAGTAACACAAGAGGTTCTCCTTGGCGAAAATGAGGGCCGTGGAAGATGTAAGAATTCGCAGGACTTTGAACATATTTTGAAACAGACAGTATGTATGCAAGGGTGTGTCAGTTGTGAGAAATAATTGTGTTAAAGTTTTGGAGAGTTATCTCGAGAGGCAGGCGTGGAGACCCTCAAAGTTCTCTTCAGGGCTGCTCAAGTTGGTAGGACTTGTTAAAAATCTGACCGCTAAGCAGGGCAGTGGTGGCGCATGCCTTTAATCCCAGCACTCTGGAGGCAGAAGTAGGCGAATCTCTGTGAGGTCCAAACCAGCCTGGTCTACAAGAACTAGTTCAGGACAGCCTCCAAAGTCACAGAGAAACCCTGTTTCGAAAAAACAAAACAAACAAACAAAAAAATCTGACCACTAAGAACAGAAAGAAATCAGAGCGACCTCTCTGCCCAAGCTTCCAAGTTGTGAGGAAAGGACCAATGGCATTTCCTAGCAGCGATTTCCCAAGACAAGATCGTCAAAGACAGATTTCCTTGAGTCTTAGGCAGACCTTAGAGTGTACGGGATCCAGTTAGCGTTGCTAAGTTTCTCCATTGCTTTCCCTCAATTTCCCACCTCCTAAATCCCAACTTCTTGGTTGCAGGAAGGTATGGTTTTCCATGTTTCCCATACTTCCAGGCAAGGGAATTCCCTGGAGGACTTCGAAAACAGACTCTGGGCAGGTGGATGGAGAACAGGAAGGCAAATGGGCTCTTGACATCCATCTCTTGGGACAGTGATAATGAAGCCTCCAGCTGGCCAACATTTATAGTCACCTGGAAGTGATCCACTCTCCCAGTACCTCCACCGTGTGTCTGGGCTGTTCCCAGCTGGTGAAAAGTCAGCCAAGACAAGGAGGGAAGACCTTTTACAGTCCCTGGAGCTCCAAGGACAGCCCCCGGGGCTCAACAGCGCCAGGAGGGCGGGAAGACAGCCCCCGGGCCAGCCCACACATCTTCCGTGGGCGCGGGCCTGGAGGAGGCGCCGGCGCCGGCGACGCCTCTCGAGGAAGTTGGCCCTTTAATTACAGAGCCAGTTCTCTGTCGCATCCACCTTCAGCAGCGAGCAGCAGACTCAGTCGGTGTCAGTCCTCTATCCCGGGTACGGCACCGCGGCCATGGGCGGCTCGGCCTCCAGCCAGCTGGACGAGGGCAAGTGCGCCTACATCCGAGGTACGAGCGCCAGGGCTGCAGGGCGGCACAGAGCCGGGGCTAGCCTAGTCACCTTCGGGACAGCGCAGAGCCAGGGCTAACCTGGTCACCTGCGCACCGGTGCCCCCAAGGGAGTGGGGGCTAGCTGGTGCCACTCGCGGGCGTTGGGCTCCTAGACTCGCACTCGCCTCTCGGAGCCGGTGTCCTGTTTGAAGTACGCGCGCGCGCGACTCGGGTGTAGAGGGGACTCGGGATGGGATGATGCGGGACGCACCAGGACGCACGGGAGAGGCAGGTACTGGGGATGGTTGGGGAGGACTCTGTCGTCCCTCATCCCCCCCACCCCCAACACGCGCGCCCCTCGCCCCTCAGGATCTGTTCTTTTCCTGATGGGGAAACAACTCTTGCTTGTACTCGGCTCTGAGTGGTTTCTAAATGTGGCCGCAGAGGTTGCTGGGGATAATCCCTTGAGTCTAGAGATTTCCTTGGGCGTGAGGGGTGGGGGTGGAGTGGGGATTCCTAACCTATCGAGCAGAATTTCCCTGTGGGTCATTTTGGCTCAGTTTTGTGAAGTGCAGCTCAGGCCACACCTCCCCCCCCCCCCCCCGAACTTCACTCCAATCGCAGGGCGGTTTCATCAGAAGCAGAAAAGTCTTTACCTTTTCAGGTTGGATGGTTCCCGTCCTTCCCCAGAGAGACAGGAAAACGAAAAGGGGAAGCTTGGCGTGTTTTGAAATAGTTGTTAAAATTGTAGATGGGGAGAAACCCGTCTTTTTAGGAGATCTTGAGATACGGAGGAGTGACTCAGTAGAGAGACAGGCAGAAGAAACCAAAACCAAATACAGGAAAGACCAAAAGCTGCAGGAAGTCTTGACTCTATCTTTCTTTCGGCGTATTTGGCTCCTACCCCACCCACCCCAGTCTCACTCTGGGCCACTGATACTCTAGCTAGTTTGTGAATTTAGCGAGGCCCCTCTCCTGGCTTCCCAAGTACCGTTAAAAACATGTATTCTGCTCCAAGTCCAAGGCTTTCTTTTTCTTTCTTTCCTTCTCCTTCTTCTTTGTTTTTTTTCGAGACAGGATTTCTTTGTATTGCTTTGGAGCCTCTCCTGGAACTTGCTCTGTAGACCAGGCTGGCCTGGAACTCACAGAGATCCGCCTGTCTCTGCCTTCTGAGCTCTGGGATTAAAGGCATGTGCCACCACCGCCCAGCTCCTGCTCCAAGTTTTACTGTAACTCTTTAAAAGAAATAGTGAAGTTTTTCTTGATGCCACTTTTCTGAACCTTGAGAGGTTATGCCTTAAAAAAAAACCACAAAAACAAACAAAAAAAAACCAAGCATTTGTTCATTTCATTATTCATATTTGTTCTCAGTCACGACATTTCAAAACCATTTTTAAAGGATAACATATGAAGGCACACAAAGGGCTATAATTGATTTTCCAGATTCTTGTTTCTGTACTGCGATGTAGAGAATCACCAACAACTGACAATGTTAGAGAATAAAACGTAATCACTTGTCCCTCTGTGAAAGAGAGAAACGATGGATGTTTTACTTAGCCAAAGACTAAACCCGCCTTCCTCTTAGAATTCTGCTGTTTGCTGTTTTCCCCAGTACTGGGCTCAGAGATGTTACAGAACACTAACAAGGGGCTTGTGTTTGCCTGTGAGCAAAACCATGCTTATGGAGTTCATAAGACGTTTCACTGTATAGTTAAAGTGGATGCATAGCTATCTACAGATATCAGGACCCCTGGCAAGGGTGGAGATGAGCTGGTTTATAGCTTCAAGGTCAGGACCTTTGTTGTGATTGATGCAAGCATTGCATTCAAATAAGAAAAGGTGTTGCCCTCTTTTTTTTTTTTTTTCAAGACAGGGTTTCTCTGTGGCTTTGGAGGCTGTCCTGGAACTAGCTCTTGTAGACCAGGCTGGTCCTGAACTCACAAAGATCCGCCTGTCTCTGCCTCCTGAGTGCTGGGATTAAAGGTGTGCGCCACCAACGCCTGGCAGGTGTTGCCCTCTTTATAAAAATCAGTATGTAACGCACATGCAATGGACATGTTTAAGTGACTAAAACTGTAGTCACTACACCCCCTTGTCAGTGTTCTTTCTTGGAAAAAGGCTTTGGAAGAAGGCTTCCATGGTGTGTGCCCTGGAGAGGGGAAGGAAAGAGTTAAAATACCTCCAGGGATAAAGAGTATGTGTGTCACATGACAGCACTGATCTCCTCACCAGAAGGGAAAAGAGCCTTGGAAAAATCCTTGGCGCTGAGAGTTGTTTCTGCTTGAGCAAACGATCATGGGGCTTTGATTTCTCCGTAGTTTCAAGGTTTCACGTCCCCAAAGAAAACCATAACCCTACATTTATCCCTCTGCCCATCCTTTAGCACATAAATATCCTCAAGTTTTGATTTAATTGTAAGTAAAACAATTGGAGGGTTAAAGGTCAAGTTTAAATACAGTTTTATGACATGCTCCTCATAAAGTGGCCGCACTGAAACATAGGTTTGAAAGCTTCTGTTGCTGAGGCAATGACTTTCTTTGGACCTTGGTGCTCTTTGCCAGGGCACTGAAGAACTAGTCTGTAAATCTTAAGTGTGGCTAAGTTTATATCAGTTTGAAGCAGCTGGAGTTCTAGAATCCAACACTATAGCACTATCTGCCCTTAACAAGTGCCATTCAGTCTGTGTGTCTGAAAACTTCCCCGTGGATGTTCTGAAAAGTCTTCATGTCTTAGAATTCAGTCAGTCTTCAGGTAAAGCCATGGCAGGGGTGTCAAGGAATTACTTCATTCCTAAAGAGGGCAGTTTTGGTTTTAGGATATCTTAGAGGATTTCTAGTAACTTCCCATGATGAGACATTTTTATTAATAAGTAGTGTAGAGATTGACTTGTAGTCATGATACTACTTGGTAGCCTTTAGTGATTGTTTTACTGTCTGTATAGAACAGTTGTATCTTCCTTTAATCAGGGTTCATGAAACTCATTCAGTCTAGGCATCAGTGGTCAGCCTAAGATGTTCTTTTTTATGTCATTAAAATTATTTATTATTATTGTGTATATGATGTGTGAGTATGGGTGTGCTACTGCTTGCGTGCCAAGGTCAGAGGGTATCTGTGTAGAGCTGACTCTCTCCTTTTACTCTTACATGGGTTCCAGATGTTGAACTCAGGTTACTAGGCTTGCATGAATATGCATGAATACGAATACTGAGACATCTTGTTGGCCATATATATAAAACTTTAGATGAAGGAAAAAATATATAAAACTTTAGATGAAGGAAAAAACACGCATGATGTATCTTCTTGTTGAAACAATAACTTCATTTCCTTTTATAATAAACCAGTGAGGGTTGATGCCATAACTCAGTGGGTGAAAGGTACTGCTTGAGGCCTTGAGTTAGATCCTTATAATCTGAGTTTGAGGTCAGCCTGGTCTACAGAGCAAGTTCCAGGATAGGCAGAACTACATAGAGAAACCCTGTCTTGGAAAACCAAAAAGACAAAGAGAAAAAAAGAAAAGAATTTACTTGTTGAAGGAGAGAACTGACTTCTACACTGTGGTATACGTGCTCCCCTCCACAAACAAATATAGTACAAAACGTAAAAGAGGGCCTGGTGAAATGACTCAGCAGGTAAACACACCTGTTGCTAAACCTGGTGACCTAAGTTCAATTCCCAGGATTCACATGGTGGAAGGAGAGAGACAACTCCCATAGAATGTCTTTTAACCTTCACACTCTGCTGTGACATTGCATGCTCCCACCTCTATAAAGAATAAAGACGTGTAGAAAACTGAAAATGCTCTTGAATTTTTAAAGGATGAAAAAGAAGACAAATCTAAATTCCTTCACATGAGTCATCCTTGGAGGACTGTGAAAGTCCTGGAAGAAACGATGTGCATGGGGTTGGTGGATGCATGTGACCCTCCTACCAGCAAGTAGTTAAGGAAACTGTTCCTGACCTACTTAGAGCCTTCAAGTGGTTAAAGGTGCCTGCCACCAACCTGATGACCAGAGTGGAGGAAATAGTTAAACGTGCGCTTAAGGAAACTGTTCTTCAGTTGGGGGCGGTGACGTACATGTGGAACGCTAGCACTCAAGAGGTGAAGGCAGGAGAGTCACGAGTTCAAAGTCAGCTTTGGCTGAATGAGGAGAGGGATAGAGGGATGAAGGGAGGGAGGGAGGGAAGGAGGGAGAGAGAGAGAGAGAGAGAGAGAGAGAGAGAGAGAGAGAGAGAGAGAGAGAGAGAGAGATCTAAGCTCACCGTTACACAGTCAGTGGCAGCCTGAGAAGGGTCAATGACTTCTTTGAAATAGTCATCCATGAGTTGCTGCCTTTAGTGAGTTCGTTTTTTAAAGATTTATGTGTATGTCTGTGTGCCTTTGGGGGTTTATGTGTACCATGTATGTGTGGGAAACCGGAAGAGCACGGTAGCTCCCCACTAGACTGGACTCACAGGTGGTTGTGAGCCACCTGAGTGGGATGCTGGGAACTGAGCCCAGGCCCTCTGCATGAGCACTGCTCTCTTAACCAATGAGCCGCCTCTCAAATGGAAGCGGATAACAGGGCTGGAGTGAAGTTCCCTTGGGCAGTGGAAGGGTGAGTGGCTCCTGTTTGAGGTTTGCCCAAGCTGCATGTTCAGGACCTCTGCACACATTTGTTCATTTCAGTTGTTGGTGAGAGATGGGCATCGGAACAGATCTGATTTATCTTGATAATTATGGCAGTGTGGCCTCAGAGTCCAATTTCTGATTAATAATGACAGCATCTTCAACGAGACGATTCTGATGCGGATTATGGTAGTCACTGTAAGAGGCCAACCCAACATCCCTTCCCCATTCCATTTCCTAAAAGAATCCTTCATTTGTTTACTAGATTTACGTTTCTAGGTGTAGCACTGTTTTTGAGAGACTAGTTCAAATTATGGTCCCTAAAGATTGTTCTGTGCCCATCATGGTGGCGGGTTCTCCTCATCAGTGATTATATAAGAGGTGAGATTTACAGTCTAGTCAGTGATGCTGG